AATTGGTTATCTACATTCGAGCTAATGAACATAAGTTTGAGAAGAATATGTCAAAATTCACCTTATTACATACAAATATGTCAAAATTCACCTAATTACATAGGAATTAAAATATATAATGAGTTTGAACTCATATACAAAAATTATGAAAACTGTAACATATCATTCGAGACTAAACTTAAAAGTTTTCTACTTGAAAATGTATTCTATTTCATGGAACATTTTCTTCAGTTTTGAAATGGTTTTACTCATCTTTTAATTTGGTTGTAAATGTATTTATAATAATTACTCTGGAATGATTTTTACTTATATATTGATCTGTTTGTAAATGTATTCATATTGATTATTTGTTATCATTATGTTTGATTTTACAACTATTATCTACTTGTATCTTGACTAGGCTGATAAGTGTTAGGTATTTTACTTATGTACAACCTTTTATGCTGCAATAAATCATATCATAACTGATTCAGTTCAGTTCGAGGGAAATATGTCTTTTAGTTCAGAATGATAGAATATCACTCTTGATGATAATCCTCTGTTGACACATCTCCCACCCCTTTTTCCTTAAAGAAAATACTGCTTTTTGTCCGAAAAATAGGTAACCTCTCCAAGAACCGGCTCGACTGAAATAACAGCCGGGCAAGAATCGAAATCCACCGATGGAAAACTCGACAACTGGAAATACCACATCAAGCGAAACAGCTGCCCAGCCTGCAAGGAAAAATGGAAAACGCCGCTACCCTCCCCCAAAACTCCCAGGGTGAAGAAGTCCAGCGTGCTTCCTGCTGCAGAAAACCAACTCTTCAAAACCGACAGCATTCACAGAATCGACATGCTGATCAACAAGGAACTATACGCTCTCGAATCGTACGACAGGAGATTCTCAACGACGAACGGTTCATTCAGGAGGGGTAGTCGGGAGAAGAAACTGACTACCGTGAATATTTTCAGACATGTCGATTTGAGTTCTATCGATTTGGCGAGGATCGAACAGGAAATCAAGGAAAAGGAAACACAGAGGAAGCTCGAAATATTTTTGAGTGAACATGCTAGTGTATAAAGAGAAATGCAATAGAAAAATGGAATATGTATTTTATGAAACGTTGGTTTTAATGAATATCATAGTATAGATGTGTTGATCTACTCGTAAGAAACAAAGATGATGACAGGTAGCCTGTCACATGCTATATACTGTGCAGCTGATATGGATTGAATGGCATTTTATCATCCTATAGGTCGCGTGCACGAAGACCGACCCTGGAGGCAAAATATTGAAACACAACCTCATTCTTCTGTGAATTATTGAAACACAACCTCAATTTTTTATTTGGTAACAGAGGAATCAAAGGATTGAAATAGTTTTTCACAATATTTTGGCATACGAATCGTTTTTTTTGCGCTATTCATTAATTCAAGCATGCCTTCGCATTGTGCTGTTGTACAATGCACAAAAAGTGCAGCAAGAGACTAAGGAATATGATTTTTCAGGCAAATAGTAATCTCACATAGTTATAATTATGAAATGTTGTCAAAATTCCTTCTGCCTTCTGCCACTCCTGCAATACAAGCTAATACTGCTAATAGATTGAAAATGTCTACAACACACACGATCGTCAGCATGTCAGACCAGTCTTCCGATTGATTGCATGAATCCAATCTTCTTGCATTATTTTAGAAATTCCAGGTGTATTTCTATTAGCTCCTATCGCAGAAGGAATTCCGATGAGAAATCAGAGAAATTACCAAATTTCAAAAATGAAAACTATAGGTGAGTGACTATATTAGGTACTTACTTTTAAATCATAATGTACCATCCGGATTTCTTCATCTTCCGCTGCAGTTTTTGTGCATTTTACAACAGCACAATGTGATGGCATGAGCGAATTGATGAATAGCGGAAAAATACTATTCATATGCCAAAATAATTGGGAAAAACTATTTCGATCACTTGTAAACAAATAAGAAAGGTGACATTGTGTTTCAATGTTTTGCCTCCAGTGTCGGTCATCTGACAGTTCTTGCACGCAACCCATATCGCTTGTAGTTGTCATCGGTTCAGAACGCATAGTATGCCTCTAGAATCAATTAATGTCTCCTTTTGTGAGGAACAATTGGCACCAGAAGAACATTGCTTTTTTTATATATCAATCTTATTAGATATAAAATACTCGATATAACTTGAATTGTTGTAAGATCAGCAACTTTATTATAGCCAATGAGGTTGTTGAAATACGCGTTTACCAGATTAAAAAATGAAGGAACTCTTGAAGCTTGAAGGAACTTTCGAAAAGATGTCTTCCACAGGTTGTGAAGTATATTTCTTATTAGCGCATCCTAGAAAGAGTTTGATGTCGTTTCATAGCTTCGTCGGACCAAAGAACATGTATGTAATTTTAACACGTGTCGATAGTATTGATGGAGAATCCTGCTTCTATAAGTGTGAATGTTCGTGACATGCCAGTTTTCGTACCTAGTATCGAAACAAGCAGATATGCGCCCCTGTCTTTCCATCACTGACTTCCATATTCGTCAATTCACAGCATTGGCAAGCACTAGACACTCCCATTAATCATTAGTGCAATCTGAATATTTCAAAGTTCGTTATCTGAATTGCCAACAACTGGAAATACAACATTGAGCGAAACAGCTGACCAGCCTACTACTCCTCAAAACCGACAGCATTCACAGAATCGACATGCTGATCAACAAGGAACTATACGCTCTCGAATCGTACGACAGGAGATCTTCAACGACGAACGGTTCATTCAGGAGGGGTAGTCGGGAGAAGAAAGTGACTACCGTGAATATTTTCAGACATGTCGATTTGAGTTCTATCGATTTGGCGAGGATCAAGGAGGATCGAGATCGAGGAAAAGGATACGCAGAGGAAGCTCGAAATATTTTTGAGTGAACATGCTAGTGTATAAAGAGAAATGCAATAGAAAAATGGAATATTGTATATTTTATGAAACACTGGTTTTAATGAATATCATAGTATAGATGCGTTAATCTACTCCAAAGAAACAAATATGATGACAGGTAGCCTGTCACAGATTATATACCGTGCAGCTGGTATGGATTGAATTGCCTTTTATCATCCTGTATCGCTTGTAGTTGTCATCGGTTCAGAACGCATATTATGCCTATCGGAGTTTTCGATGAATCTCTAGAATCAATGAATGTCTCCTCTTGTAAGGAACGATAGGCACCAGAAGAACCTTGGATTTTTCCTACTATATCAATCTTATAAGATATATAATACTCGATATAACTTGTCGTTTAATTGTTGTAAGATCAGCATCTCTATTACTCTATTATAGCCAATAAGGTTGTTGACATCCGCGTTATCCAGATTAAGAAATGAAGCAACTCTTTCGAAAAGTAGTCTCCAACAAGTTGTGAAGTACCTACATCGTTTAAAGAATCTTTCGTTGCATAGCATTCTGATTCTGTAATTGTGAATTTTCGTGACGTGCCGGCAAGCACTAGACACTCCCTTCATTCCAACTACGAAATAGCAACAATGTGGCATGAAATGTTAAATAAATACAGAAAGCTCACAGTCATTCATACACAATGTTCATAAAATGAACAACAGTGGTAGATTTCGGGAGAAAAACAACTACCTTCCTGGCTAACGCCACGCAGAACATTGAATTACATCCTCCCGGAATCTATGCATCGAATCGTATAAACGAATGATTCTTTCCTGAATGCCTATTGATTTTGAATTAGCCAGGCCGCGCTAGACACCTACAGACCGGTTCTGAGCTCTCTGACTCTCATCAGTGCAGGGCATTCTCCAGCCAGCAGTCCTAAGACCGCCGACTAAGCGTAGCCTAGCCAAACATAAATCAAGTCGGCATTATATTCCCTTAGAGGCATCCTCCATAGACAATATGAGAGCAACGCCATCTGAGAAGAAAAGAAGGAAAGAAACACTCCAAAACCAAAATTTGCTGGTTGCTAACATCAGGTTCATTCGGGAGGAGCAGTCGGGAAAAGAAAGTGATGACCTTGAATTTGTTCAGACATTTCGATTTGAGTTCTATCCATTTGGCGAGGATCGAACAGGAAATCAAAGAAATGGAAACACAGAGGAAATTCGAAATATTTTTTAGTGAACATGTTGTGTCTAAAGAGAAATACAACCGTAGAATGTATTTATGAATTTTATGAATCACTGGTTTCAATGAATATTATAGTCGAGATCGAGGTCGAGATGGGTGATATACCGTGCAGCTGATATAGTTTGTGCAGTAGTGGTCGATAACAAATCTCGATTCACAATCACCTTATAATACTTGTAGTTTCATCCTCACCTATGAACCGTGTAAAGTACCACTTCATTCACTTGTGTAATAATTGAATTACATCAATTCACCACTTATAACTACAGGAGAGCTTTTTCTTTGTCGAAGTAAACTTGACATTTTGTTGACTGGAAATTCAATGTAGGACGAGTAATCAACCTCAATTTCAACTATGTGGTATATCTCAAATCATTTATGTACTAGACACCTAATCAGTAAATAAAAACTCTATTGAATAATATAAGTTGAACATCCCTTACGTTATATAATAATCAAAATGTTAATATTTAATTGCTCCTAGGCAAACAATTCGAATTGCTTGGTGAATGATCGATATGAATTTTCTCTTATTATACACTAATGATTTCAATTCAATTTGCTCTCCATTCCAAAGTCCAATTGTTTGGCTTATTATATCAATTTTCTCTTACCTCCGAGTGATTTCCAATTTTCTTTCCAAAACAAATCACCTTTTTCATTTGACGGTCTTACAAACAAATCAACCTTTATGATTTCAGATAATAATCGAAGATAAAATCATTGGTATAAAACGTAGGTCGGCGCCACTCGGAAGTAAATCAGGGCATATTCTCCATTTCGACAGAAGTACTAAATTTTTCAGTAATGAAAATATTTATTTTTTTAACTATATATCTTTTACCAAACTGCGTTTCGTCTACTACAATGTCAACAACAAAGGCCATCAACGTGTTATCTAAAATGTTTGAAAATGTGTTTGGCTCAAGCTCCAGAAGTGTTTGTTTAATTCGGGAATCGACCAACTTGAGGCAGATCCTAGAGGAGTCCATTCTATGGTTAGATACCCCAGTGATTTCTTTAACAACGCACCATTTACAAAAGATGAACTTGACAGGAAGGGACGTATCACTTTGTGGTAATTCTCTGGTCTATGTGAAAGAGTGTGAGGCTTTTTTGGAATTGCTCTTTCAGCCTGATTTCAACGAATCGATTTCTTCACTATTTAGTCCCTGGTCGAGAATGATTCTCGCATGTGAAGTACCACCGAAAAGTACCCAAAGCTTATTGGTAAGACTAGTTGACGAGTTCTTCATCGATATATACGATTTGAATTTTCTCCACTCGCAAAATTCGAGCAGCGATTTGGGCTCTAGCTTTACTGAAAACAACTTCATTGTCAAGCATCTGTACATGAATCGCACTGTTCTAGAGCTGAATTCGGGAGGTAGCCTCAAAGTTCGATGGGAACGCTTCAAACCTACCAAATGGGTACCAAGATTCCGATCTGGCAAACCATTTAGGATATCCTTATTCCACTGTCCTCCATACTGGTTTATCGAAAACGGGACCGAAATAAAGGATGGACTCGAATCACATTTACTAAGAGATGTAGTCACTGGCTGGCCTGTACAATACCACATAGACGCAGCAGGTCCTTCTTCAAACAACTGGACCCATGGTGTAGGGTTAGTGGAAGAGAAGAAGAGAGATTTATCACTATGTGCTCACATGATTCGAATTAACGTTGGTCGGCGAGTTGACTACACGGAATCCATCGGCAATGAAAGACTCAGCTTCTTGGTCAGAAAACCCTATAATCCCTACATATACCAACCATTGGAAATCAGTGTGTATGCTGCTGTTTTTGGCATGCTAATTTCAACATCATGCCTGTTGCATTACTTCAGAAAAATTAGTCGTGGTAGGCCAAGTGACTGGATTTCACAGTATATGGTGATGCTGAGTATCCTCAACCAAGTGGCTGTAAAATCATCTCTTATACTACAGCGAAAGTCGACAAGGATACTCGTTATTTCTTGGGTGATATTCTCTATTCTAAATGCCACTTACTACTCAGCGGGACTAACAAGTACATTGGCGCATCCTCGTTTCACTCGTGACATCAGTACTTCGGAAGACATGATCAGGCACAATGTACCGTGGTACGATGAGAATGGCTATATCCAGCGCTTCTTCGAATCGGATTATTCGGGAGGTAGTGATACTTGGCAAAAATTAGGTCTGTTGCATAGAAAAGAATTGAGATTGCAGGATGAATATAATCAATCTGCGATTCTTGTCAGGATACTTGGCAACCGATATGTTATAGATATAGAAAACTTACCTCCTGAGTTATGGAAATACTACAAAGTCTTGAAAACTGACGTTACGCGATTCTATAATTGTTTCATTCTTCAAAAGCATTCACCATACAAGAGATATTTTGATGAAACTATTTTGAGGATGAAGGAGAATGGTATTCTGATGAAAGGTGGCGAGTGGTTGTATCAGACGAACCGTAAAAGTATGGATGTTTTTTTCACAAACTCCGTAGACAATAAGGTTGTTAATCTGAAAATCAATGAGGAGAGGTTAGTGGGAGCTATTATTTTGTTAGTGGTTGGACATGGTTTTGCTACAATGGTTTGTTTACTTGAATGTGTTATTTTCAAAATGAAATTACGTAGATAAATTTTTTTTATTCATTATACAGTGTCATTCATAAAGTCGGCATCATATATGGTGGCCAGGTAGCCGTGCGGACAGAGTGTCTATATTTTAATTCGCATTCGCTTGCCGGTCGTGGGTTCGATCCCTGTCGACTGCAGAAATTTTTCTGATGGCCCAAGAAAGTGTTTGGGATCACACGTTAAAAGGTAAGGCCCCCGTCATTCCTTGCTCGCACAAGACTTTCGAAGACTTTTGAGGGTTGCTCGTAAGGGGGCAACCGAATGACGGATAGAACAAATTTTAGAACAAATTTTTTTTTTAAAAATATGGGAAAAACATTTATTAATGACTCATTTTGAAATTCGAGTTGGACGTTAAGTTTTGCTTCAAAAAAGATGAAAAACGGCCTACTCAAACGGGGTCACGTGACTTTCGCTACATGTCAAAAGTGACATTTTTTCAAATTAATCGCTGAAAGTCGGCTTATTTGTTCGAATATCGAAAAAGTTTACTTGAAAAAGTTGTTTCTATTTGAATTTTACATATGTGACTCGCATTTTATCTTTCTATTTTTCATCTTTTTTGAAGCAAAACTTAACGTCCAACTCGAATTCCAAAATAAGTCATTAATAAAAGTTTTTCCCATATGATGCCAACTTTATGAATGACACTGTATAATAAGAAAACTAGTGATTGCTATAGTGATTAATAAAACTATGTGATGTGTGACATTTACTAACCTCATCAAAATAACCTTGTGGTGTTCTCCATACTATGGTTGTGGCGTAACTTCATATAGAACCCCTCTGCCATTTACACCAATGCAAAAAAAACACTATGGGTATGAAATACACCAAATGAAGAAGCTGGCAGCAAATGGAAAACTTTTTTATTATCAATTTTAGAAAAATAGAGTGATTCTTCATGAAGAGTTCTGCAACGAGACACGTTGAAAAATATAAATTTTGCTCAAGATAAAAGTATAACTTCATTTTCGACAAAATCGAAAATTGTTATGAAGAAAGAGGGTTAGGAATCATAAACTAGGTTCATATCTAATTACATCTGTCTACGATAATAATGAGGTTTCATTATTTTTTATCGATTCATATGGCAATTTTTTCCTTATTAATTTCAGTAAATAAAAAGTAATTCTTCACAAAAAGTTTCGAGAAGCCTGAAACCGAGAATGAAAATATAGGAAATTTTTTCAGTCGTATACTAGGTAAGTTTTTATTTTTATGTTCTGGTTCCCACGAAAAGGGATATCCTGTAATATTCAGAGAACATCGTGAGAACCAAGGAAAATAAGGTAGGAATTGGTGTTGGAGGTTATATGCCTCGGGGAACACCTCCCTTGGCAATGTGTTCCAGAGACTCGTTGTTCATTGGATGAACGAGTCTTTGGAAATAGATGTTCTGCAGGTCTCCAAAGTGACCACGAAGGGATGCGAAGCCTCAACTCGACGGGTTAATATCAGCTGAACATATCCTTACTGAAGATGGACAACACATGGCAGAGTGGAATAGTATTGAAATCATTGGAAAAAAAGATAACAACCAGAAGAGAAAAATAAAGGAATCTGCTTGCATTCTTTTGAACGGAGACAATAGCATTGGTTCCTGTTCAGTTCATATAGATAGAACATGGTATTCACTACTGAAATCTGAAAATCGAAATGGAAAATTCAAGATTAATTAATGAAAACATCATGTAACTCATTTGATTGCCAACGTCACCAATTGTCACTGAGAACTGAAACGTGTCAGGAAAAATACGAATTTGCGATACAAAAAATCCATTTTTTATGTTGAAAACGGGAGCAGATTCGTTCCCGAAACGTCCAAAGATAAGTAAAAATTTGATATATTCACTATATACCTTTATTTCTCTTCTCCAAACCTTTTTCAATACAAAATTGTCACTGACAAGCTAGTGAATTTTTCTTTTAGGCTCTCTGATAGGAAAATTCTTCAAACACAATGACATTTTGGGGCAAATCATCTGATTTGTCCTAACTACACGTATATTGAAATAGTATTTATATTTTTATGTTATAGAGAGGAGAGAAAATCCAAAAAAAAGTCTGGAATGATAATAGTTATTTATGATATAAGTGCTAAAAGTGACATTTTATTTTGTGAGAAGGGAAGTTCGGGACACGACGCCGAAGGCGGAGTGTTCCATCCCTTCGAACACTCACCATGCTCACCATGGGTATCTTTTTAACGGTGAGAGATACGAGGTCGGTTAAATGACACCAAATGTGGAGTTTGTCAAGGCCAACTATAATGTGAAAGAATATTTTGATAAAATTTATTCGTTTTCGTTTTATACGCAAAAAACAGATTTTGATCATTTTCATGTCTCCTCCGTAACTTCTTTATTCATGGAAACATTCTAATAGGAATTTCACATTCTCATGGCAGTTTTTCAAAGTGATTTCGAAAATAATATGAAATTTATACCAACTCTTCTAGAATTTGAGATATCAGCACCAACTTAAGTTTTTCAAATGTAGGTCATAGCTCACTATGACTTAGTTACAAATAACTTTTTTTTCTCTTACACATGATATGACGCAGTAATAGTTTTGTGTTGATAACAACGGAGTTATCGTCATTTATACAAAAACAAATAATTATTTGGAAGCCGCCATCTTGAATTCATCCATTTTAACAAAAAAATCATGATCTCCGACCTCAAAAACTCCCATGAAACAAGTTACCAAGGTAAACAAAAATTGAATTTGTTGATTTATCTTTCTTGACAGCTAACGTCAATAAATCACGAATTATTCTTTCTCGTTTCTTCGTTCCTCGATGGAAAGTGCCCAAGAAAATGAATTTCTTCCGCCGCAAATTGAAGAAGCTTTTAGCACTAGTGCTAAAAGTGATTTACTTTTAACACCAGTGTCATAAACTGACATTTTAGACACTGACAGCATGCGTCAAAAATTATACTTTTACTGACGTTTGGAAAAAATATTTTGTCTTTTTCTGAATAATATGTTTTGTAGATTTTTCAAAAATCCACCCGATTCAACAAAGAAAAGAATAGAATAGAATAGAATAGAATTTATTCATCACTGAAATTCTACATACACCTACAGAATAGTATATAAATGTAAAACTTATTAGTTAAAAACAGAAACAAAATCACTTAGAAATATACAAATAAAAGCATAAAATACATATAATGGGAGTCAAATACTCTGAAAACTTTGGAATGAAAATAAAGTATGTTTGTAAAAATGAAGATAATAATTTTCCATTTTGTACCATATAATGCTTTCTTCATAAATATCCACCTCTTATCGAATATAATTTGCTCATAGAAAAGCATAATATGTATGTTAGATATGAGGATACTGTTCTTTTCAAAAGATATAAGTGGGGGTTTGGCAGGCGCGGATTCAGCAGCACGCTTACAGTGAACAAAGGAGGATGAACGAACCACCATGCATGCAGAGACAATTTCATTTCTGGTTCCAGATCCAATGCATACGAATAGAAATTTAAGTTTCTGAAGAGTATATCATATGGATACATAGTTATTTTTCCTTCTGAAGTGGTATTTTATTTGAAGGTATGCTATAATCTATTCAAAACATTAAACAGTTTTTTCAATACTTCAAGTATCAGTGTACCTATTCGATTTCTGAGAAAATATGAGAACTCCATTGAGAAAAATACTAGGTAGCGCAGGAATCAAAACGATTTGACGGAATTTCGAATCCAGCAATCGCCTGATGATTTTTGCTCCACTTAGTCCCGCAAAACTATCGACTTCTGCGGAGTAGGTATTCAACGTTGGCGTAGTGATATTCATCAAATTTACGAATTTCTGGTAGAAATACTTTTTCAGTTTTTTTTTTAGAATTCCACGGTAATTTCCTATTCGCGGATACCTATTGATCTAACTTTTGAATATTTTTTTGACATTCATCCGAATTTCGAGATTTGTAAATTATTTTTCGAATACGAGTTTCAAAAATGAATATTCATCCAGGAGACACCTGCATGCCCCCCTGGATCCGTGCCTGGTGCAATTCCGCTTAGTTTAGGTACTGGAGTTATTTTTAGATTACTCCGAAACGCTAGCGATGCACAGTGCAGTGAGCAGTGCGCAGTTGCAGTTACATTTTAGCAGTCATAGTGGGAACAGCTTGGGCGACAGCCTCTCGAATCATTAATTCATAATCCTAAGTTTTTTTGTGCGAAGTACCTATTGAGTCTAACGTGTGTGTTGGTGAACATTACGAATTCGGTGAAATTGGAAACTCTTTTGAATGAGTTAGAGATGACTGAACACAATGTTGAAGCATTATAATATAATGTTATTATCACACATTTATTTGTGAAAATAAATTATTAATATTATTATTCTCATTATTATTATACCATGTCTTCAAACTAAGAATACAAATATTTCCATTGATTGAATATCCATCTCATAATCCTAAATATAACATTATTCCAATTTTGAAAATAATGTGTCGCTCCATAGACATATAAAGTCATTAGAAATGAATATACAGTATTTCATAAGAAAGTATAATGTATATTATTTTTTACAAAAATGTATGTTAGGTATGGATAATGAACGTTTGCTTTGAATTACTATAAAATATTCTCAGATGTATTACAATAATTTATGTTGGTAACTACAATATTTCTCTCATATAATTGTATCATAATACTTACCATTTTTTATTGCTGTCACATATAGTACCAGAAATTTTGGTAAACTGTACTATAATTCTGGTAATACCTGCTATCTATTTTTCTCCGTGTAGGAGCTGAAGTTCAACGTTAGCTCCTTGGAACTAAAATTCAACTTTAGCTCCTAGGAACTAAAATTCAACTTTTGCTCCCAGGAACTAAATATGTTGCCTAGCAACATACCTATTTTTGTGTCAGTAATAGAAACGTCAATTTAAGAGCTAATTTTGGTATCAAAATGGACGAATTTTGTGTCGGTTGCAGAAAAAAGAATTGTTTTCGTGTATAATTGACTCAGTGTTATTCGTATCGAAGTGAGTATCGATTCATTCATCGCTTTGGTTGCGCACACACCAACAAAAAGATGAAAATTTCAATTTTCACAATGAAAGAAACTGGTTGCACAACTGTAAGTCCACTTTTTTCAGACTTTCAAACTTGGATCGTTGAGTTTATGAATTATTGAATAGCGCCGTTAGACCATGACAATGTATCGGAAAAAATGGTCGGTTACGTATAGTTTATCTTCGTACCTATATGTTGGCTACAGAACCGTCTCTTGATACATTCCATGACCTGTCAAATAGATTCATGTGTAGGCAGTAGGCACTAGGGGTGGGGGAATAGGCAAATTTATCGATAGTTATCGATGATTGTCGACGGTATCGATAAAAATTCAGATAAAGAACTACACAGTGAAAAAACGTTTTTTGAGTTAAACTCGCAGAGTATGTTTTTAGAGTTAAAATACTCTGACCAACTCATTCTGATACTACAATTTACTCTATAACAACACTTCTCGCAGATTATCTAACTAATTCTAGATTGAATTTCCACTAATCCCGTATTGAATTCACTCTATATTCCTGAAATTTTAATAAAATATCAATTGAGATAACTCAATTCACAAACAATTGAAATTGAACTTGTACTAGTGTTAACTGACACTATTGCACTTGAATGTCCCACTCTTGTCGATTGAATTGACACTCTATTATTGTTCAATTCAATCTATATACCATGAGATACCAATCTATAATCTATACAGTTTTAGATCGTTTAGTCTATACTGGATAGTGAAATATGTAATGATGATTATACCGGGTGTCCCAGTATACCTGTTCCAATAATTTATCTCAGCCATTTCGAAAAATAGAAATTGGAAAAATCAATGATCTCCAATTCGTTCGAGGTAGCTTCAACTGAGAAGAACAGGAATTGAAAGTCACTTCCTGTTTGACTCTAACTTTTTTATTTCATATAGTAGGTATACCCTGTATATTTTTTGCAATTTTTGATTTATAATCAAAATTACCGTTCCAACGATCTATCACAATTATAAATTTGATTCGATGGAGAAAACGATTTGCACTAGGCTACGATATTTTTGTAATCTTGATTTTGACTTCAATAATAATAAATTATTCATCTTTCGAAATGGCTGAGATAATCTGTTGAAATAGGTATACTGGGACACCCGGTATATTCCACAGTGGTGATACTACTTATCGTTTTTATTCTGTAGCTGAACATAAATTATAGTTATCTCATGCGCAAAGAAAAAATGAACAGTTTTGTTAGGTAGGTGATCTCTACTATTGAAAATTATGGAGAATCACTATAAGCAGACTCCTATATTTTGGATCAAATATCTTGAAAAGTGTAGCTAAGTCGGACGTTTTTCGATGAAATTGCTCAGGGAATTCAAAATATTGAAAATCATCCAAATTTCACCAGTGTGGACAAAATGCGGGCAAAGTTACAACAACTCTCTTTGATGCATCACTGGATAATATGATTGAAGTTATTGTATCTACCGTCAACAATTGAGGATTTTGAAAAATAATTCATTCACCAAAGTCGAGGAAAATCGACAAAATTTTTGAAAAATCTGAAAAGTTTCATTTTTCAATTTTCAATTTATCCAAGAGTTATGATTACATCTCTGGTATCCCTATTATTTGTTAATGTCAAAATGCGTGCATAAGAAGAGCAGACAAAATAGTAATTCACGTAACAAGTCCGGAAAATACTGTTATTTTTGGACGAATAGGCAAAATTCTAGGCCGAGCATGGACGTGTAGCGTACACTATTTTTTCGGCAACCATGTAGAAAAACAAATCATTGAGACACATTTCAATATTGTATTTCATTGTAGAATACAATGTCTTCTTTATTCATTCTCATTTATCAAATATTGAAATTTGAACAGACTATCTATACCTACTAACTGTCACATGGACATTTTCAAACTCACTATCGCAGCTGCTTTCGATAGTTTATTCCGATAATTGCAACCAAACTTTCAAAGGAAAAGCGTTCGAGAAGTGATCAATAAATGATAGAAACAGAAAAGTAAATTCTCACTATTATATTTCATAACCATCAGTCCATGAATCGCCTTTTACTTTTTATTGCGAACTGGAATTTATACTATTGGTCGCGTGCACGATGACCGACCCTGAAGGTAAAACATTGAAACACAACCCCACTTTTTTAGTTGTTTACGGAGGAATCAAAGGATTGAAATAGTTTTCCACAATATTTTGGGATACGAATTGTGTTTTTTGGGCTATTCATCAATTCAAGCATGCTATCTCATTGTGCTGTTGTACAATGCACCAAAAATGCAGGGACAGACGAAGGAATATGATTTTTCAGGTAAATAGTGATCTCACATAGTTTTCATTATGGAATTTTTTCATTTCTCATTAGAATTCCTTCTGCCACTTCCGCCATAGGAGCTAATACTGCTAATAGAGTGAAAATGTCTACAACACACGCGACATCGTCAGCAGGTAAGACTGTTTGTAGCTCCTATTCTAGAAGGAATTCCAATGAGAAATGATGAAATTTCAAAATGAAGACTATATGTGAGTGACCAAAGTACTTTTAGATCACAATGTACCTACCTCACCTACCTGAAAAATAGGATTCCTGCGTCTCTCGTTGCATTTTTTGTGCATTGTACAACAGCACAATGTGATGGCATGCTTGAATTATTGAATAGATGAAAACACGATTCTTATGCCAAAATAATAGTTAAAAACTATCCTTTGTAAACAAATAATAAAAGTGAGGTTATATTTCAATGTTTTACTTCTAGGGTCGGTCATCTGACAGATCTTGCACGCAACCATGAAAATAAGAAATAGTTATGAACATTTTTGGTTAGGAATCATTGAAATTATTGTTTCATGAGAATTTTTCAGTTGCCACCTCATTCTGTACACTTATATTTTTATTATCTCCCAATTGGGGAAAATATTTCAATCAATAGAAGTCATTATCTTCACGGCATCATTGAATTCCAACCGACCCGCTGTATAGCTCGAAATATAATTAGAATAATGTGTGGTTATGTTTTCAGGGATTTACATGAACCTTGATTGGTGTCATGGTATCAATAGTAAAATCCTTAGTTATACACATGATCGTTGATATCCACATTCCTGGTACACATCTACCTTCAAAAAGGGTATTTTTAATTTGGAAACAGATTCCAGAATCGTATAACAACAAAAATAAATGCCTTATCATCAAATCTGAATATATACTGAGCATCAGTTGATAAATATTCACAAAAAACTCAAAGATCTATCCATAACGACCAGCTACATTGTCTACACAATTAATATCAATGGATATATTATACAGGATGTCCCTAAAAGGTCTGTACAACATCTAAGCACATATTCCTGAGGTCGAAATAAGCCGATTTGAAACAACATACCTATCAGTCCGAAATTGCTCCGTTTTCCGAGATACAGGGTGGTAAATTCAAAAAATAAAAATCGACAAGTACACTTCAATAAAGTATTTTGAAAAATCCAATTTTGCACTGCTAATTCACTGACCAAATGTCATCCTGGAAGATAACCACACATTTTTCAGTCAAAATTATCTGAATATTGCGGTGCGGAATTGAACACTAAAAAGAGAAATAACTACAGAGTGACTCATTTGAAAACCGGCACCCCCATAACTTTTTTATTTATGGAGCGATTTCCACGATTTTTCTTTAAATGTAGAGGGAGGGGTATATTTCTGAGCTAAGCGCCAACAGCAACAAGATCAATGCATAAACAGTTTACGCTGATATATCGAAGACTGGAACCTTTGGCACGATAATAAAACAGTGTGTAGGGTTTACGTTAATTCAAAATAGTGAAACTAAACAATATACTATTACTTACCATCTATATATCAAAAAAAATCAAAGACTGGTTAGATCACCATCTCCTGACATTGAATACAGAGAAAACAAACTACGTCTGCTTTTCATCCTACGAAAATAGTTCACCCGATTACACCGAAATACATATAGATAATACAGTTAACTGACTGTCATCTTAAATGGAATCTACACATAGAATACGTCGTGAAATATACTATATACTAACACTTTACTAACAGTTTATAATAGGTTAATCCAATCTATAATGAGATATGGTATATTGATCTGGAGTGGAGCAAATAAATACTTATACAAGTCCAGAAAAGGTTCCTAAGAATATTTTTATGAAAGGACTATCATGATTCAACGTCCAAATTATATACTGAATCAAATGCTATCTATATACTGAATATAAGACAAAAATATGCAGAACAATTGCTCATCCATCAATTCAAAAATAAAAGCAAACAACAGATTAAAACACATACCTACGAAACTAAACAACAAACGAAAAAACTCATAAGCAATCCTAGAATACAAAAATCTATTACTTCAAAGTACTTTCGATACCTTTCTCCCAATACTTTAACCGATCCCATAAAACACATACCCTCTTATCGTATATTCCAGAAAGAAGTGAAAAATTGGATCGTAAGTCTGAACTACATTATATTAGATATATTTTTAAATACTGGAAAAACAAATGCTCTCAAAAGTGAGCACTAATATTAATTTAATATACCTACATAAAAAATAAAAATTCCATTCCACAACACAAAATACAAACATAATTTCATATTACACCTACCAATGTGAATTCAACTAAAAATAAAATATAAGCACTCGTGCACAGTTTATCAACTTTAGCGAGGCTTTCTCTTGTTTTTTTGTCGATAGTTGCTTACTCAAAATCAAAACATGAATCCAAAATGTATATAGGATTATTAATCACAACACTCTTTCATGGGATAATCATGTCAGATCCATCGCAAAAGCTGCTTCACAAAAACTCGGATTCTTGTTTCGTGCGAAAAGCTACTTTACACCTCAACAGCTTCTCATGATCCACAAAGCGCAGTTACGGCCTGTTCTAGAATACTGTTCCCACATATGGGGTTCAGCACCAAAAAATACGCTGATGCTCTTAGATTCCATCCAGAGAAGAGCCATTCGCCTGGTGGGTGACGTCACACTCACTCACTCTTTGACATCATTGGAACACCGTAGAAAGGTCGACGACCTTTCACTTTTTTATCGATACTTCCACGGGGAATCTTCTCCGGAAATCTCTGCTATCATCCCTTCACTAGCAATACTAGTCAGACGAACTAGACAAGCCCAGTCAGCACATCCTGTCGTTGTCAACCTCGAAAGATGTCTAACAGCACTTTATCAAAACTCCTTCATCCATAGAACGGCTAGGCTCTGGAATTCATTGCCTGAGGAAGTATTCCCAACAACATATAATCTCCAGAAGTCCAAAAAAATTCCAATACCTACCTCCTGTCCCTATCCTCCCTAGGAACGCACGATGTTCTTTGAACATTATAGGGATTTCCTTTCGTGCGCTCCAAGCGATACAAAAAATCATATCTATTATTTAGCTGTAACTTCTTGAAATTAACATTATTATTATCTTATGTCGCATTCAAAGTTTCTTGTTATTCGTAGACCCACATACTATCTGCATTATCTATGGTTATTATCTCAAATTTACTCCGTTTTACGAGGATACTTAGGATGAAGTAGGGAGAAACGGGCCCTGGTCTTCTAATGATAAATTGATGATGATTGTTATTAAAGTAGATACGCCGCCTTTGTTTCTATTGCCACGTTTCCGGTGGGCATGTAAAACTTATACTTATACATTAATAAATTATACAGATGACATTTTCCAAACTATATTAGGGATCATCAAGTCTTGCGTAAAAAGGTGGGCATACTGCAATAGGCGAGTAGACTATCTTCTTTTATTTCTTAAAAATAGAATCATCACTCAAATACCTCCGAATCTCACATTTTTTTAGAATTTTTCGGTCGATTTCAATGTGTCAAAATCATCAATAATGCCACAGAAATTTTCAAACGATTAAAAATTTATCGCGAGTAAAAACTGACGTCACGATTTAGTAGGTAGGGGCAGACCATAGCACAGTTGCCATATGTTGAAATACGAATGGGAACTCCAGAAATATCATTTATTCAATAATCTATAGATACCCATTTATGTATTGGTAATATTCCCATTTCCTAATTAGCATTAAAAAATCAATTGTCGCAAAATGTTCCCTCATGTGTTGTGGCTTATTGGTTATAAAACATTTGTTTATATAATAATCATATTAATTCACACTAACCCTTTGTGTCCGGAATTTATTTACTTGATATATTCAAATGACAAATGAACAAATTCATTCCCCTTTTTATTCCTAGAATGTGTACTTATATGCATGTCAATATATTTTCAGACCTTGGCTGAATGCTTCAGGACGTGTCCTCGGTTTGAAGACTCTAGGCAACAAACATTGTTCAAATCACACAAGATGATTTACCACTAATTTATTTCAGTCGAGTTTGACGCAGTGGACGAGCGCCCGACGCATGACCGCGAAGTCGTGGGTTCGAATCCCAGCCAGGGCAAGGAATGTTTTTAATGTTTGATTCAATATTGTTGAGTTTTGGAGCATCGGCTGGGGATAGTCCGGCACGATTCACGATTGCCTTCTCAATCACAGTGCTGCTTCTAAGTTAGCGTATGGAGTTAGTAACAAAGCCTGCACAGAACACACAATGCAGAACACGATGGGCTAATGGACCTCAATTTAGGTCGTTGACCAGTTGGTGTATACATATATACCAACGAAGTGCATACACTACTATACTATTTCAGTTATCAATATAATCACAAATTTTTATTGGGATGATATTGGAACAAACAATGTCTCTGGTCGCTGAGACATAATCTCACATCAAAAGGAGAGCGAAATGAGAACAATTTTTTATCTGAATGAAAAAACAGTTCTTTTCCTTGTGTCCACAACGCGAGACCACCAACTTTCTGGCGAGAAATAAAATTATTCTTCGATAGAATTTCCATTTTCCCACTACTTTGACATTTTTCAGTGAGTTTTTCACTATTTTGCAAAAGAAACCTCACCTGCTATATTGAAATAGACGATAAATAGAATGAAACAGTTGATTAGCAGAGGCAGCATATGGAACCATGTTCATTAGTCTAAAACAAATGTCTTCTCTTCCGAATAAGCGGAATAGTACGAGTTCCTATCAAGAGAAGGGACATTTGCGCATGCTCTTAAGGATGTGGCTACAATATAAATACACTAGGCGACTGGGTAAAAACTATTAGAGTTGTGTCTCCATATCGCAACCACAAAGGGCTAATGAAGGACATTTGAACCGGTAAACGTTCGGCTACACGTGACAACAACGGCGCACTAATTATGGGCGTGGTCTTGTCAGTTCTCAGCATTCAGTACGATATGTTGCCAAGTCTCCAACATTTACAAGATATTTTGTTATGTAGAAGTATAAGAAATATTTGGAAATGCTGGTTGTTCGAAATAGACAAGAATCAACTATAAAAGCATGTGTTCCTCCTATTATGTTTTATTCAACGACAGGACATCTTTTTGATAACTTGATTATAATTGGTGACTTTGCAACCTTGCTTCATGAGTGGGAATGAAAGATTACCTGACCAATAACGAAACAGCATAAAAAACTAACGTCACCATTGATTCTACGTTTCGCCGAATGGCGGCCATGACGGTACGTTTGAAATGAGCTCTGAAATTCGACAATTTCGAGTAACGCATAGTCTCGTTATTCACAAAAAAAGCGTGAGAAATCTTGCAAAAATGAATTTGGTTCCCTAACGCCACAGTTCAGTAATTGAATGCCAATAATTCAATATATGAGTCCTTTCAACAATTATATTTCAATTCTGACGTTCAGGAAAATCGCGGAACTACTACACAGTGAAAAAAAAAATAACACCAGTTCACACCAGCTAACACCCTTGGGTGTCCCCTGAGGTCCTGATCATTCTAGTGGGAATTAACTCTGATATTTTTAACACCATCATAGGGTGTCATTCGTTCTTACATACAGTCAAGAACTACACTGGGTATCTAGAGCTAATTTGATCGATTCGTGTTATTGAACACCAAAGTGGTGACTGATGTACAATCA